TTCATACTCGATTTCTTCAAACGATGGAATGCTCAAAATCAAATAATGGAGCAAAGTGATGAATGCGCACATGCAACTAATGGGAGACAACATGATTGTGCACTAGCCACAAGTTGGATATAGGTCTGTCTCCATTCTCCATTGTGGAGATATCCATGGACCGGTTTATCTGTTTTATGGTATTTTACCTAGCTAGGAGAGGGGAGCACTAGGTCCTATGTTTTAAGAACAATCATTTAGTGTTGATTATGACTACGATGATTATGAGAAGTTATGAGTATGATGATGATGAGAAGTACTATGATGATGAGCAATTAGCTAGTATTGTTATTATGAGTACTATGATGATGATGATGAACAATTAGCTAGTATTCTGATTATGAGTACTAATGATGTATTATGGTGACCTAAACCCCTACTTTAAAAAAACAAAGCCTGGCAGGTGCTCACAAGTGGTCGCCTTATTGTCCCGGTTCGTGTCACGAACCGGGAACAAAGGCCATCCTGCCTCGGTGCCCCGCAGCAGCCATGTGGAGCTCCTTTAGTCCCGGTTTCTAAGCCAACCGGGACTCAAAGTGGTGCCCTTTAGTCCCGATCATTTTGTCCCTGTTGCAGAATCGGGACTAAAGGCCCACTGGAACCAGGACTGTTGCCCTGTTTTCTACTAGTGCCATGAGATTCATCAGTAATTAATATACACTTGACTACAAAACCCACTTCACTTAAGGGTATCATTAATACTTATAAACACTGACTTTCTTGCACTGTATGTATGATGACCTCGAGGGCTAGCTACTGCTGGATTGAGTGGAACAATTCTCTTTTCTAGAAGAATTATCATAGTTGTCCATAACTCTGAGCTCATTCTTACTATTCCGAATTGGAATAGGTGAAGTCACAATACAAGTTACACCCCAGATAGGAGATTAAGTAAAGGAAAATAAAATATCACAAATCATTGTGGTACAGAAACAACAATCACAAAGATCATTGTGGTAGTCAGGATTAACATGCATGAAAGACAATCATATTTCACGGCCAACGATATTGCATATGAGAATCATGAAATTTATCATAGGGATGGCATTGGATTTAAGCAAGGCACAATCCCAATTATAATTTTGTTTTCCCGTGGTAAAACCGATAATGTGTAGTCTGTTTCTGCTTTTCTTCATCGTGTCGGCCTTGTAAAACTTTATAAATAGGAGGATGAACCACTTATGGGATACATTTAGTGCGCTTACATGGACCTTATGGTCTATTGTGAACAAACGGTTCATTGCAACTAAACCCTTGCGACATGCTACTTGCACAATCTTTTAATCCATTGTCATGTTGCAACAGAGGTGGTTTCTGTGGTTACCTATACACTGTTTTGGTGCCAATTGGTTATTTTCCCTTGCTCGTAGATTCACTTGATCTAACAAAATAAATGAAATATGATAGTGTCTAATGCAAACTGTTTTATATTTACTTCGCAAAATAAAATTGGTGTAATTCGTTATCCGTGGCAGTATCTCTCACACTTATTCATATAACAGACAGTCATTCATACAGACCACCAACGCGGACAAGTGCGCAACTGGTTTTCCACCTACCCACCAAGTTGTTCATCGACCCACTCAGCTCACACAATGTGATGTGGTTCAGGCTCACTTGGATTCTAGTAGCGAGTAGAATGTCATGTGACCTCTAATGATCTAACTGAATTATGAATGATCCAGTAACAAACAAGGAAAAGAAAGTTAACAAATAAACTACATTGAAGCATTAAATTCAATCCATCCCATGGTTGTTCATCTAAATAGATGTTAATTAAGGAGTACTGGTTTGACTCTTTGGTACACAGTGTTTTTGTTTTTGCGTTTTCATCGCAACCATCCTAGGGTCCCAAGCTGTCAGCATGTGCTTTCAATCCAAACTACAGCAGGCAAGAGTGAAAAAAGGTGTTTAGTTCCTCTCCTTAAAGAGCCTCAAGTCTTGTATATTTTCAGTTGGTTTCCTGTGAATGCCATCTTCTTGCACCATTTCCATAACAGATGTGCTACTAATTCAAAGATGGAACTAAATACGCTTAGAAGAAGTACTGTGTTGTCAACCCTAATTGAGCACATTGTGTTAAGCTTCGGCTAGTTTGAGGAAAATTTCTGAGATCATTACTTCTCCCTATGCCTCCCGCTCTAGTGAGTTCCAAAATGTCTTTAGTTTTCCCTCATCTAATCTTAGTCTAGTATGGTCGTGCCATCAACACGTGACATGAGGTGAAAGGTACATCTTCCTGTCTACAACCTGACCAAAAAGTGGTGGCGTTTGTAATAAGTAGAAAATAATATTCCCTCAAGTGGCAATATATGACCTCTTAATTTATGTTCACTGTATGTAACAATCAACTCACTAACAATGTCTATGCTAGTTTCAGCACTATGTTTTTCTGGCGGGGGAGTTTCAACACTACCTTGATGGGAACTGAGTAATGGTCTTGCTGAACCCCAGGCTCGATGCATGAGTCACACATCGATCACTCGGGTTCAGTCAGCAGCGAATGAATTGCTCGGGTTCAACACTTAGTAGTGCGAGTGATCACTCGGGTTCAGTGCGTAGCCAGATACTATGGGGTTCGATTGACCAGGTTCAGTAAGTGAGGGACCACTCGAGTTAGGTGTAGTGCATGAGATCGATCGACCATGTCCAGTAAGCGAAGGGCTCGCTCGGGTTCAGTTAGAGAAGGGCTTATACACACGCGCTTACGAGAGAAGCATGAAAAACACAATGCATCGCTTGGGGCCGACCACCCACCATATACCAGGAATCACAAAAAATTTATCTCGCCCTCACTTCTACCATGATTTTTAACTTCATGGATGGCGAAGTGGATGTCATGCAGGTGTGCCTCCAACCCACACAAGAAGAAAAGCCCATCTTCTGTCAGATTTTTTTCCCATAGAAGTAGGATCCGACCACATCTATGATGATACGTGTTTTTGTCACAATTATCATTTTGAAAGTGTCACTTTCATGATAGAAAATGCTTTGTTTAGGCCATAATGTCACGTATGTATCTTTTTATAGTGAACTTTATGATGAAAAGCCAAGGCAAGAAAAAGAGCTAATTAATTAATTTAAATTGCTAACCAGAACACATAGACAAGACGTGCAACCGTCTTATCTGAATTTTCAGATTGCTAACCACATGCCCCGTGCGTTTATGCCACAAATTGATTTAAAATCATGGAGGCACGAAAGTTCCATATATCGTTGCTAATGGTGTACACTGCTAGTCATCCATAAATTTTCATGCCTTTGTTGCTCGTCTAACTCCTCAACGCACTTAAAAAATAGTTCAACATCCTTATGTGACGACACAGATGATGATCTATGAGCATATATGATTATTGGAATATCCGATATTTTTGGTGTTTTTGATCGTGTTTTTGTGATTTTCTGAGATTTGGATGGTCCAGATGGACAAGCTATAATAGATGTTTCGGTATGGGTTGGCTTAATTCACCCTGTTTGAAGATGCTATATGCCTAGGCAAGATAAGAAATAAGAAGTGTCAAGTATGCAAAATTAGATGAGTTTGCTACTGTGGCTTCTTCCTCCAGGTAAGCTGCTAGCTGCTATAATTGGGGAAGTCCTTGTCGTATAGCAGTAGCAGTGGGCCGGCAAGGCCATGGCACGATGGAAGACAAGGAAAGGTATGAGACAATGAGTGTATTAACTATTTCTTCCTCAATAGTACACTTCTTTAAAAATAAAAGAGGAGAAATGAAAAAAAATCCAGTTATTCACTACAAGAAATATGTCAACTTGTGACCACCACTATTGGTCACTAAAAGGTCACAAATTTCCATTTGCGACCTTTTTGTGACCAAAAACAGAAGGTCAAAAGCTGGCCATCATAAACTGACTATAGCGAAGGTCGTGGACGTTTACGACCAAAATATTCCTACTGTGGCGATTTGGTCACTAGCAACCTCCCCAGGCCACGTAGGCATCCAGCGTGGCAAGCTGATGTTGCACAAGATTCAGCCCGGTCCAATTCGGTTTTCTACATGGGCCTAGCCCAACAATTCAGCCTATTTGTGTTTTTTTTTTCTGTCAATTTTTGGTTGGGTACATGGGCCAAGCCCAATATTGCAGCCTTTTTATTGTTGGGTTATGGCCTTTTTGTCTAAACGAATTTAGTTTTTCTTTTTTTCCCAAAAGAAGGGTCCACTAGTCATATGGGTCCCAGTTGTCATCATCAGTTAGCTGTATCCTTTTCAGGCGCAGTACACAGGAATACAATTTTACACAGATATATTGTTGAGAAATTTTCATAATTTTGCTGTCAAAGCAGCATGTACACAGGAATACAATTTTGCTATCAAAGCAACATTTCAAACGTACATCTTCATGACATCGTACATAAAAAACAGCAATAAAAAGATTACAATATGCCATTTGGCTCAGATCTTGCATGCGCAACATCTCACATTCATGTACAGGAGAGGAGGAGGGGCTTGAGTTGTCCTGAAGGATACGCATTCCTGAAGGACACAAAAAGTAGAGGTATTATTTTGGACAATAAGCTCCAAGACAACATTGTAGGCTATTAACATAAAATAAGTTATTATCAGGTTAAGCCTCCTTAGTTTAGTGATCACCATGAGATAGATAGCAGTATATTTGTTATACAGATCAGCTATCAACTCGATATTTATGTACACCATACAGAAATTGTTTCCAGTTAGAACAAGTTCACTTAATACTCAACTCCTTTATTTGTGTCCATTTAGTGCAAGTCCATTATCCATGCATATAAACTTTTCCTCCCAGCCAGCACCTACCCAACTAAGTACAAGTCAGGAGGCCACTACTATTAAACCAACTCAAGTGAGAGAGCCAGCAAACTAGGTGGGATATTTCCTTATCACTAAAATTAAAAAATTGAGCACACCAAAAATTGATTGTGTGTCATTAGATGTTCCTGAGAGTGCAGCACCATGTTACCATCTCTAAAGCTCATTAGCCAGCAGCAAAAATTGTGTAACATATGTATAACCATTGCAAACAACCTTAGCAGAATAAGCAGAACAAAATTTCATCTAAAATCTTGGTATAACCAGTAGATTATCCCCTAATAGAAGCTAATTAGGCTCCAATACACAAGGCATAGCAAGCACAGACTAAATAAGCCACGGCCATGAAACAGAGCATGGTATTACAGCAGCTCAGAGATGGAGCTAGAGGTAGGAGAAGGACTCACCGGAGAGGAGGTTGTAGTCGAAGCCGCACACAGGCGCCACCACCACCGTCACCCTCTAGAGGAGACGCTGTCGCTTCATTGACGGACTCATCTGGTACAAGGAGATAATCAAAATGCATCACACTCATGATCATCAAAATGCAGCAGGAGGAGCAAATACAAGTTTAGCCCACCATGAACAGGGGCACTAGGCAATCCAGTAGCAATGTCATATATGGGTAATAATAACAGGACCTTAGATAATTAGTTTTTGTTCTTACTGACACACAAGTTGACAAAATGTACTCAATATATTCTAATAAAAAGGTTTGGGAGCAAAGGGAGAGGGAGGTGGAGATGGACGTGCTACCTGCTGCTGCGGTGGTGCCTCTTGGTGGTCGTGCTTGAGCTCCTCCTCCTGATGCTGCTCACTAACCTGCAGGACAAACAAGACCATGGGTAAAGGAACAAGACCATGGGTAACAGTACATCTTCACTTGGATATATCTAAGAAGTCCAGTTGGTTCTCACAAGCAAGTGTTCTCAGGTTTGCCTTAACATGAAAGGTTAACTTATACTTAACTGTGAGCAAACAGTACATAACAAAATCATGGATTTGATTTCAAGTAACTGAGACTAATTAATGTGTTACTGCCTGATACTGTCGATCAGAAAAGCATAAGCAGCAAACAATATCCTGCGTATCAGTGGAAACAAGGTGACAAACTAATGTTCCAGGGAGGTACTTTATATAATAAAAACTAATAAAAACAAACTAGGCACCTGCATAATCACACGGCGGTAGTTTTAGATAATAAAAACTACTATTCCACGCAGTCTTAGCGCTCCATCAAAGAATCAACTAAAATTACTTTCAAGCAAACAGGTTGTACATTGATCAGGTTGTAAAGGACAAAAATTCAGGGGTGTACCTAGTGCAAGAAGGCATTTACTAGGTTTTGAAGCTAATAACAATTAGCATGCACGTATCACTTGTTGGAGTTGGTGCGTGGTCAAATTCATCTAGTGTAATGTATCGCCTATATATAATAGACCCATCTCTCCAATGCAATTTCACGGACCAAGAAACATAGGTGTTTATTTCTTCCTCTGCTAAACTATCTCCATATGGATACCAGCTAATGATACGCAGATTGTATTAAGGCAACGCTTTGGACGACACATATTCTGCAAGCTGCTGCTAATTTGCAAATACAAACGAATGCCTAACAGTGCTCGCATAGAAATTAGCAGAGCATGGTAAATTTATAGCCATCAGGGGAGGGGACACTTGAACCCACGTCGGCTGCTGCAGGGCTTGTGCTGCACACAAACACACACATACATGTATTAGAAGCAATTCAGTCAACACTCTTGGCAGGCAAGAGGCAAGTTGGCACTCACAGGGTTGAGATAATAGCAGGAGACGTGCATACCTGAAGGGTCGAGCGATTGGTCCGAGCCCGGAGAGAAGAGGAGGCATGGCGGCGGTGTGCTGGCGCGCCTTGGAAGCCCGAGAACGTGGTGGTACCGATGGTCAAGGAAGAAGAGGAGCAGAGCAGGCCCTTGATGGCCAGCTAGATGCGTCCCTCCTTCTGCTCCTCGAGGATGGGTGACCTACGGTAACAGATATGTTATACAACCCGGGATCAAATGTAGCACATAATATCGTTGTAACAGTCTTCTCTTGTGTCTTCGCTAAGACAGATACAGACTAACTGCATGTCCAGGAAGACATTGAATACATACACTTTGAATAAATAGCATAACAAAGTGATGTAGTGACCACATTGAGCATCTAAAAAAGAAGTGGCATGAACAAGAATCAATTGTTTACCTCACCACCAGGTGTCTGTCGTAGCATACACATTCAGCTTATTCGGTGACAACGGACTAAAAGATGCCTGATATACAATCCTAATTGCAGAAAATTCCTACTAGCACCAAAATACTCAGGCTGAAATCACTGAGTTGAACATACACCATATTGCATTTAATCACAGGACACTAATCTGTAACAGACTACCTGGTATTGACATACAAGAGTATGGCTAGGCGCGAAGAAGGGTAAAACTATCACTTTATTTGCTCCCCAAATGCTAGAAGCTAAGGCACTAAAAAGAGGGCAGAAGCTACAATCTTCCTGGTCTAAGCATCATCTGATCAAAGAAGGAAGTACAGGTAGAGGCCAAGCTGTACTACTCGCTTCCGGGCACCAGTTCCATCAGCTCTTAATACCACCGCATCTACTGGCCGGCCATGGACGAACAAAGTCGCAGCAATACATGGAGCTCAAGAGCTAGGGGTCGTTGACACACGCACGGACAGCCGAGTGGGTCGAGGAGGGTACCTTGGCATGGTTCCAGGTGTTGCCGACGGTGAGGGGCCCGTGGTCGGCGAGGATCTGGAGGAGGCGGCCGGAGATGGCCAAATTGGATGGAGAAGGAGCTCCATCTCCTTGGTGGCGATCCGTCCCATGGAGGTTCGCCCCTCCTGCCATCGTCGTCGTCCCATCCACAACCATGTTCACCTTTCGAAAGGGAACACAAGACGAGGTGAGGTGAGGAGGAGATAGTGCACGAATAAGGAGGGGAGGGGCTTACCGGTGCCAGATCCGGCCACCTTTGGCCTCGCCGTCGCCGGATTTGGCAGATCTCGACGAAGTTAGGGGTGGCGGCCGAAACCCTAGCCACGGGTGAGGGTTGCGGGCGAGTACTAGAGGGCGCGGGTCGGGGC